ATATATTGCAGCTTACCAATCATTAAATATGTAGCTGTATTAGTTTTCTGTATTAGAGTGCCCCAACTCTGGAGGAAGAGCACAGGGGGAGATTTGGACAGCAGCATTGTCAGTTGTGTGGGAGGGGAGTGTTTAATTTACTAGCAGATTTAAATACATTAACAAATTGAAGCCAAACGCCTGCTAATACTTTATAAGCAGCTGCCACAAACTGTTTTTTTTTTTTTTTTTTTCCTTTTGGGATAAAAATTTTCCACAATTAAATATAAGCTGATCATTGTAAGCACTCCTATCTTCCTGTTTTCCTTGGTGTTTCACAGCAAGTCGAACTCAAGGATGGTACGAATTAGAACATTCTCGAACAACAAAGACTCTTAGTTGGCCGTAGAAACGTTGTAACATAGATTATTGTTGTTTATTGTTTCTGATCAGGCAGTCTTTTGTATCTGATTTTTCTTGTACGAAAACAGTGCACATTAAACAAAAAATCGTTAGTTCTGTTCATGTATGAGAAACATTTTGGAGTTTGTCCTTTCGGAAATTTTCTGAACCAGAAAAGTTGTATACACACTATATGAAAATCGAATGATCATTCCTTGTACAGAATTTTTTTCTGATTTTCTTATAGTGTGTACCCAGCTTAATTCATGGTCCAGATCTGTCTCTACCTCTCCGACCAATGTGATCGTTGGGGGATGCAGGTGGTGACAGATCAGAGCAATGAACTTGACAGAGGTGCCATCAGGGGCATCTAGAACATTAGGGTAGATCATAGAAGGTACCTCTGGGTTGCTGCAGTTCATTGAGTGTGTCAGCCTATATAGTTTATCTCCAGTACAGATTTAGGCTAGGAAGGCCCTGTTGCTTTTTTCTGCTATGGAGCTTTGAATTGTCAATAGTGGTCCAGGAGGTGTTGGCCAATTAGTCCTCTTACTGCCTCTCCAAAAAGTATTCCAGTATTGCACTAAAATCCTTCTGTGGCTCTTCCTCCTCTCCTTCTACTGTGTTTTTCTGCTGGCTTTTTATATGTTTGCTTGTGATTTCTGACTAATTTGTGCCCTGGATTAAGGTGTGTGTTTCTCGGAAGTCAAATATTTCCTCAATAAATACAAGCACTATTTAAACAGAACTTGGCTGGATTTCGGGCTTAAACGTGCCACAGGGGAAGTATGAACATAGTCTTGTTAGGATGGATGTCTGTTGGAATAAGTCTGAAAAGTCTTTTGTTTCTAATTTGTCCTTTTTTATGCAATTGTCCGTTGGGTAATAAAACAACATTTCTATTGCTTCGCTTTAAAAACAGTCTGTTCTAATGAGACTGTAGAATGCACACCTTAGTGGTGTGATTTAATTATCTTCTGTTAATGGATCACTGGCTAGCATTACATAAAAAAGTGACTTATATATTCCGCTAGAGGAAAGAAGAGTACATTGCTTTCACAATGAGTACTATAGGTACTTTTTATTTTTTAAAGCTACAATATCCACCAGAGATCAAATGAAGATATCAACAAGGGTATATCGAGGGCAAAACATAGCAGTCTTGGGCAGGGTCTCCACACTTTTTAAACAGAGGGCCAGTTTACTGCCCTTCATGCTTTAGGGGTGCTGGACTGTGGCCAGTGGAAGTATAAAATGTCCCGACATCAGTGGGAGTAAACAATGCCCCGTACTTGGTATTAGGCAAAGTAATAGTGCTTCATCGTTGGTATCCACAGGAGGAATAGTGCTCCTTCGTTGCTATCAATGGGAGGAATAGTGCCCTACTATTAGTATCAATGGGAGGAATAGCACCCCATCATTGTTATCAATGGGAAGAATAGTGCACCATCATTGGTGTCAGTGGGAGGAATAGTGCCCCATCATTGGTGTCAGTGGGAGGAATAGTGCACCATCATTGGTGTCAGTGGGAGGAATAGTGCACCATCATTGGTGTCAGTGGGAGGAATAGTATCCCATCATTGGTATCAGTGGAGGAATAGTGCACCATCATTAGTGTCAGTGGGAGGAATAGTGCACCATCATTGGTGTCAGTGGGAGGAATAGTGTCCCATCATTGGTGTCAGTGGGAGGAATAGTGTCCCATCATTGGTATCAGTGTGAGGAATAGTGCACCATCATTGGTGTCAGTGGGAGGAATAGTGCACCATCATTGGTGTCAGTGGGAAGAATAGTGCACCATCATTGGTATCAATGGGAAGAATAGTGCACCATCATTGGTGTCAGTGGGAGGAATAGTGCACCGTCATTGGTGTCAGTGGGAGGAATAGTGCACCGTCATTGGTGTCAGTGGGAGGAATAGTGCACCGTCATTGGTGTCAGTGGGAGGAATAGTGCACCGTCATTGGTGTCAGTGGGAGGAATAGTGCACCACGATTGGTGTCAGTGGGAGGAATAGTGCACCACGATTGGTGTCAGTGGGAGGAATAGTGCACCACGATTGGTGTCAGTGGGAGGAATAGTGCACCACGATTGGTGTCAGTGGGAGGAATAGTGCACCATCATTGGTGTCAGTGGGAGGAATAGTGTCCAGTGGCTGGTGTCAGTGAGAGGAATAGTGCCCCATTGTCCGTGTCAGGAACTATGCCCCACTGTTGTTGACAGTGGGGAGAATAATGCCCCAAGGGCCAGATAAAGGGCCACAGTTTAGACAACACTGGCCTAGGGCATGAGGGAAGAAGAGAGCCAGTAAGAATTTCTAAAAATTTTATAAATACGTAACTCACACTCTTGGCTCCAATGCTCATCCTCCCTACCTATGGTCAGAATGTAGTCTAAGGCTGGCTTGGGCATAAAAAAGGGCAAACTACTTTTCCTAGCATTGATCTACCCATCCAAGGCAGTGGATCCAGCAAAGCAGTGTACCACTTTCTAATTGACTGCAACAATGTTGGATTTCAAAGCTGAATCCGTTCTCTACCTGCTCTGCATCATACTTGGTTGAGGAAGAGTGACCCTCTTTACAAGTGGCTAAATACTCTATATACTATGTGAAGCTGAGTTTTGTTAGGGGAATATTTCTGCTGATCTGAACATCAATACATAAAGTTTTTTATTACTGACCACCAGGATAAAGTGGGCTTTTATTGGGAAGGGGGAGGGGGCATAAAGGCTACCACTGATCACAAGTGCCAGGTACGGCAGAGAAAGTTTGCCAGGGGCCCCATGAAAGTTTTGTAGTCTGACCCTGTAAGTAGTCATGCAATTCTGGATATTGTCAAAAGTGTAAGTGCATTACAAACATTGTTTCATTGTTAAAGCAGAAGACCTGCCAAATTTTTGTTAATATTGTGCATAGAGTGGGTATGGTTATAAACCTTCGTTAGGTTGTTATTGTTGTCTGTGTCTCCCTTGGGGAGATTTTTCCTCAGTTTCTGTCCCAGGTGGCACCAGTCATTGAGACGGAATGAAAAGAAATCTCCCCCTACGAGGCTACAAACATCAGTATATAAACACCAACCCTATAAAGTCCAACAGGGGAAAATTAGGGCAGGACTGACCACACTAGATGGGATTTCAGTGTAACAGTGGCATTGTTGTCAGCTAAGTACAAGAAGATGGGTGCACACTGGATTTTCTGGAAGGTTCAAAAGATTTTTTGGATTTTTTTTTACTTTGTTTACAGACAATATTTGGGAAGATATATTGGAGAGATGTACTGAATGTTTTGTTTTTTGTTTTCATTTTTCCTGGACAATATGGGCAAATATCCATACCTGGAATTCTTTACTGTAAATGAGAAGTACAGCTAAAGCTCTTTTGGCTGTACTTCTCCTGTGGATCACAGGGGTGCAGTTCGTTCTATACTCCTATGACCCTGTGACCCGTCTTCGGCTGACAATGGGCTGAAGCTTGCGGTCAGCTGACATCACTCAGTTGGTCCAAGCTGGGAAAAGATTCCGACTTTAAAGTCAGGATTCACCCCAGAGTCTGGAGTGGCACCTGGCTCAGCCTCTCAGAGCCTGAACCAACTGCTCTCTCCCCCTCCACAGCCCTGCACTCCAGTGAGCTCACAGTGGGGGGGAAGAACTCCGCGACCAGCAGTCATGTGATCACTGAGTTCTCACCCTTAGAGCCGACAGGGGACAGATGCAGCATTGGACCGATGCTGCATCCACCTAGGTAAGTATAATTTGGGAAAGAAACCCATACTTCTCTTTTAATCAGCCCAAAATTAACATTTGATTTCAACCTTAACAGATATCAGGTCAACATTAAAATACCCGCTAAAGCCTAACCCTAGCTAAACACTAATCTCAACCCTGACCTTGATTCCAACTCCAACTGCAACTTACTTGTAGCACTAAATTAACCCCTAAAAGTTTATACTTTGTCAAGTACCAAAATTCCCATAATCGCATGATGAGATGTATCAGAATTGAAACTTTACCAGTAAAAAAAACAGACTGGGGTTCCAATTCTTCTCCCATTTATCCAAAATGAACTATGGCTTGACATACATGTTGATTATGTGGGTGGAGGAGTCTGGTAGATTTCTTTCCTTTTTGCCTGCAAGCTGAAGAAAATAAATCTTATGTGTTATGCCTGATATTATTTTTACAGGTATTTCTCTGTACTTGCAGTGTGTTAACATTAGGAAATGTACATGCATTGCAGAGATGTACAAAATCTATGAAGTGCAGAGAGGAAGGTAGCTGTGCTAGGAAATTGACTTTCATTAGGTAGACAGATTTTTTGACCAGTTTAAAGGTGCATTGCAAGCGAATAAAAAATACTTTATGAAAAGGAAAACATTGCAAGTAGGCATTTAAAACACTTGATTTTTCTGTGCTTATGTCTGCATTTTTGTTAGTGACAAGATCTCTTTAAATGCTTTGTTATTTTGCTTTCCAGTGTTTTTACTAATATAATCTTCTCTTCCAGTCGGAGGCATGGGGGCTATTAAACGTCCTCCACCAGAAACCACTGAAGAGCCAGCGGGAAAGAAGATCACCAACTATGTTCCCACTAGCCCTCAACCCACATCACCCTTACAGACAGCCCAGCGAAGCTCCACACCGGTCACTGAAAACCCTCCAGTCAGAGCTGTAAGCTTACCATAGTTCTTGTCATTTATTTTTATGTGAAACAGTATTTTAATGCAGTTCTGCAAAACTACTGCGGACATCCTTTTCCTACCTACTTGGTTTTATGTAGATTTTTTTCAGGTCTAAATAGAAAGGTTTAAAACCCAACTCTACTGCAAGGGTAAGTTGTTTATTTAGTCTAGGGACAGAGGATTTAGAAGAATATACCTAAAGTCAGCCATAGATTAAATTAATCCATCCATCTATGGGCAGGCTGGTTGTACTGGAGTTGATCTATTAATCAGTACAAGCAGCCTATCGGATTTTTTGCATGTGATTACTGCCAGCAGCTATGGCCGCTAGTCGTAATCATTGTGTTCTACCAGCAGGGAAGTAATAAAGCAAACAAAATAGAGCTGCGGGAGGGATTCCCCCATCAACATGCTCTTGCCAAACCGTCTGTATATTGAACACATAATAAGAGAAGCATTTCTGGAGAAAACTGCTAGAGGTTTCAAGACTGGTGAAAGAAACATCGACAATCTTCGATAGACTGCTGACACTATTTTCTGAAAATACAAAAGCTCTGGAGCCTCGAAAAAAGAAAATTAAAAAAATAAATATATAAAAATGTAAAGAACAGAGTAAAAAGATTTTTCTTCAGCTAAATATATGAATTTAAAACTAAATAAATCACACTGGTGAATCCCAACCAAAAAAGAAGAAAAACAGCTGCCAAAAACAAGATGAATTGTCTATAACCTAAATATAAAACCATTGCTACACTAAATGTGTAACAAAATATTATACAAATGTAGACGAAATGACTGAAAATAAAAAGTCCAACATGAAGAAAGAAATCAATATAAAAGTTCCAGTGTTGTAATGCATGATGATTATATAAACTTCTGATGTGTCCAAACGTTCCAACACCAAAGTGCACCACCACCTTAGACGATTAAGACTCTTACCAGAGCATATGGACTCTTTAGATTGAAAAGAGTCAAAAAGCATATAGTTAATCTTCTAAACCAGACCCTTAGCTCATCCAGACCATCATGTAAAACTATCGGATGGATGTATTGCCAGTTTTACTGCCAGTTAGAAAAACAAAGATGAAAGGCCTAAAATGGTAATGATTTGTCTATAAGTAGAAAGTTCAAAATTGTCCAGGCTATAATATTTTCTATCACCCTCTTTGGAAGTGAAAGCTGGACAAGGAAGAAACAAGGCAGATACTGATTGTAGTATTTGAAGTATTGTTGCTTTTGAACGTTGGTGTTGGTAAAAAGAATTTAAAGATGGGAAGAAAAGCGAACCCATGGATCCTTCAACAAATCAAGCTCAGCCTTTCACTAGAAGCCCAGATGACTAGAATAATGTGATCTTTTGTTGGATATATTAGAAGCGACTTACCGGGAAAGACAATTTATACTTGGACACACTGAAAGAAAAGAAGACAACCAGCAATAAGGTGTCTGTATACAGTCACAAAGTATGAATATGCCATTACGAAGACTAAAGACCTAGATAAGAAGACGGATCATTCGAGAGAAACACTATCCATTTTTTCACAAGGAGACTGTATGGACTTGACAGTACTTAATATGATTGATTCTCTAATCGAAACAAGGTTATGTTGAAACAACTGCATTGTTATGTGTAGGACCATTATCATATAGACGGTGGTTCCTTGGATTAGAGGACATTTCTACTAACAAAGTCTGCACATACATTACACGATGTGGCTGGTCACCAACACTTCTGATCTTACCATAGCCGCAGCTTATCAGACAGTCTGTCATAATTAACTTGCAAAATGCTTCATGTTCACCTATGCAAGTTAGAATAGTCACATTCTTAATGTGTGTGGCGTTATCAACAAGATGGTAAGTTCTGAGTTCTGTGCTACAATTCAAGCATACTTTTATTTTTTTCAGGGTATCAGAGAAATAAACGAGAACAGCGCAGTAAGCAGCAACTGCTTTATCTGTGGTAAACATGTACACTTGGTCCAGAGACACATGGCAGATGGCAAACTGTACCATAGAAACTGCTTCAGGTAGGTCTTCTGAATAGGACATAAATAACATCTAGATGTCTTTTTCACTGTGGTTTTCTTGTTTGCATTTAGTGTATACACAATGAGGTTAGTACATCTGAGGTCTGTGATATTATTAAAACATTTTGGTGTGACTTTTCCCAATCTCTACATTTTTGTGAAGAAATGTCGTCTATAGAGCGAATATTCCTTTTGTGGTTTACGGTCTTGTAAAGAGTGTGCTTGGCAATCCTTCTATACAACTGCAAGAAGAAAATGATCTGCACACAGTGGAGTGCTGTTTTCAGTCAGGGTAAACTTAAAATATATCCAAAGCTTTTTTTTTTTTTTTTGTGTTTTGGACAGAGTAGGCAAGGGTGAAAATCCTTATCAGTTTTTGTTTGCTCTTCCTGTCCCATTAGGGAGATTTTCCTTCACTTCCTGTCATGTAGACACAGCTTAAAGTAAGAGGAAATCTAATCAAAGTGAGGGAAATCCTCTCATTGATGGATTGAAATTTAGCAGGAACTGTTCAAACTGCAATCCAACTATGGGGAGGCTGGCTGTATTGAAGTCGATCTATCAATCAGCCTCAGTACTACCAGCCTGTTGTGTTTTTTTCTGTGCCATCACTGCCGGCAGTAGTAACATCTCTTGTTCCAGTGACAACTCTCAATTTTGGATTTTCCATCACGTTTAGTCTCTGTGACCTTCGTTACTAGCACAAATAGAGAGGTATTCCCAATAGGAAACACAGCAGTAAAAATTAGGCTGGGTTAAAAAAGTTTGACTTTGGATACATTTTAAGATGGCCTTAGACATACAACAGTGATCATCAGTGTATTACGTGAGCCCCCTCAAAGCAGGCAGTCTTCATAGAGTTCTATAGGTTTATTCGATTCTTGAGAGGCAGGGATCTGGGAACGTGGGATTAGAGCTGAAATGTAAGGGAGAAACAATAGTGATTAAAACAGGTGTTTGTTAGGTCTACCTTTGTCCTTCATAGAGGATAGCCAGCAGGGTCCAGTGCTACCTGTAGACATTTTTTTGGGCAACTGTCATCTCGTGTCTGTGGGCCACATTAGGGCTTTTATGGAGGGTATTTTTTATTTGCTTTTTGCATTATTCAGTTAGCATTTGGGCTAAGTTGCTTTTGACTTCCTAAATTGTTTCATTCTGTTTTTGTATTTTCATTGACTTGTATGTGCAGTTCTGAACAAAAGCCACTTTACATAACTCCTTACACTGAGAGAGAGGAGCTGTAAGAAATAAATACTGCACTGTGCTGCTAGGTATGCTAGGCATAAGTAATAAATCCTTTTTGCTTCGGATGCTCACCTGCTTCCTTTTATGTATTTCTTGAGGGCAGAGTCACAAGACCAGTCAATAGACAGCAGGGTCCCCTTCCTGAATATTGAGCTCAATGCATGGTTAGTTGACTTCTTCAGTATCTTAAGTATGAGTTGTTAGGTTAAGGGCTATGTGACAGAAGCGTAGGCGGGACAGAATATACAAAGAAGATGGTAAACACACAAAGCTTTATTGAACTATGGAAGGCACTTAATCAGGGTAGGAAGGTAGTGTCCAGGTACCCAAAAAAGGGGGGAAGAGTCCAAACAGTTATAATCCGGCCCACGCTAGGGCGATTCGGGTAGCGATGGCCCAAGCACTCGGGGCAGTCCAGGTATCTACGATACTCCAGACACGCAATAAGCAGTCCGAGCATGTATTAGCCCTGGCACACAATAGGGGTAGCTCAGGCAGCAATAATCTGGGCACACAATAGGGGCAGTTCAGGCAAGGGTAATCTGGGCACACAATAGGGGCAGTTCAGGGCACTCCGCAATATGCGGCTTGTAGGGACAATCACGGCAGGTGGCTTCCAGGGACAGTGACCTCACGATAGGCAGCTTGCAGACACTCAGCAGCAGGCGGCTTCCAGGGACACTCAGTAGCAGGCGGCTTCCAGGGACACTCACGGTAGGCGGCTTGCAGACACTCAGCAGCATCCAGCTTCCAGGGACACTCACGATAGGTGGCTTGCAGACACTCAGCAGCAGGCGGCTTCCAGGGACACTCATGATAGGTGGCTTGCAGACACTCAGCAGCAGGAAGCTCCCCAGGGACACAGCGATCAGCAGACAGGGACCCTCAGGGTGCTCGGCTTTCCAGGGACAAAGCGGTCAGCAGACAGGGATCCTCACGGGGCTCAGCTTTCCAGGGACAAAGCAGTCAGCAGACAGGGATCCTCTCGGGGCTCAGCTTTATAGGTACAAAACGGTCAGCAGACAGGGACAGCTTTCCAGGGACAAAGCGGTCAGCAGACAGGGATCCTCACGGGGCTCAGCTTTCCGGGGACAACAGCAGGCTCACGGGGGACTCAGTGGGGTCTTGGCTGTGGAGACCCCACACAGCGCTTCTCTCTCTTCTCAAGCAGGGGAACAACGGCTTGCAGGGACTCGGCAGGATCTTGGCTGTGGGGTCAGGCCTCAGCGCAGACCTCACACAGCACCCTGTCTCATGAGCGCGGCCTTTGTCTCTGTCGGGTGCAGAGCACGGGAAGCCTCGTGCTCGCGCTGCGCCCCGCTGGGGGGGACGCACTGAGACATCCCAGAGGTCTCCTGGCGGGGTGCCGCGACTCTCCAGGGACATTGCTGGGAGAGGTGCGACCCGCACCACAGGGGCCGCTTCCTCCCATCCTGCACAGCCTTTGAAGTAGGCTGTGATAAGATGTGAGGAATTTGCAAGGGGGGAGGGAGGGCTGAAGGGACAGCAGGCACAGGGGGTGGTGGGGGCACGGGGCACACCGTGACAGGCTACATGTAGGTGTCTCTAGAGCCTTTCTTCCACTCATACAGATAATACATTTTGTGAACTTCTCTTGTATGCATGCAATATTGCTTTATTGCATTTTGGTCCAATAGATCATGTGTGAACCTTCAGTAGAATCCCAGAAAAAAATTAAAACCTATGTGCTAGTCCTTTTTCTCCAGTCTTTTCCTTCGAAGTCCCAACCCAAGTGACTCCAAGGGTTTGCAACGTCATCCCTGCTAACACGGAGTTGCCTGTAAAGAAGTCTCTGCTGAGTTTTATAATATCTTATCGACGGAGTGGTCAGTCATGAGTACTACTCACGTTGCTAAAAATTTTAATGTGTAAGATTTGCAAAGCAGATTATGTATTAATATAAATCCTATTCCCATGTCCCCTGGCACCCCCATATTCCACTTGTCTTTGCTTGCTGGATTTCAGGTGAGATGGTTATGTATGTAATTGTACTTCGGAGGTCCATTGTATGTTACACAGTAAATGCTGCACTGTAAACAGCATTAGCATAAAAAAACTCATGTTATTAATATTTCAACTTTCACATAAAACTTGTAAGTCAAGCTAGTGGAACAACGTTCATTCAACTGACTTGCTTAATTTTTGCCATTTCAGATGTAAACAATGTTCACGGACACTTCAGCCTGGAAGTTATAAAGTGGGAGACCACCCTGGAACACTCATCTGCACAAGTCATCATTCCGGCACTCACATAAATACAGGAACAGTCAATGCATCCCCATCTGGTCCATACACCCCGGCAGTGGCCTCTGTAGGAGGTATCAGGGGCAGTATAGCTACTTCATACCAGACCCACAGCACTCCTACTGGCAGACCTTGGCAAACCACCATTAGTCCTTCTGTCCAAACACCAGCCAGTAGATCAGGTATTGGAAATGTAAGCAATAATAAAAATGCTAACAATTCCTCAAGTACAGGTGGTCAGGAGCCTGTTAATAAGACTAGTTCCAGTTTTCCAAACTCAGTTGTCAAAAATGGTTCTAGTTCTGTTAACACATCCAACCCTGTACCCACAAACAGGTCAGCTGTTGGCTTTTATGGTAGCCCTCTCACAAACTCCAGTGCTTCCAATGGTTCTGGAAGGACCGAACTGTCTTCACCTGCTAATATTAGCACCAACCAAGTGTCAAGTGTATTTGGTTCATCTGGTAACTCACAACAGGGTAATGGTCCATCCTCAAGTTATTTACAGAATGGAAAAGGTAAAACAGATAATTCTTCAACTCAGAGCAGCTGGTCGCAAAGAGAAAGCAGCAAAGATTCAGGACAAAGTGGGCAAACCAAGCAATTTGGCAGCACAAATAATCAGGTTATAACCGTTTCTTCTCTGTCTGGAAGGAGGTCATCCTCCGTGAGCAAAGATGATGAAAACACATCTACTAAACCGTGGCTTTCCTCTACTGCAAAAAACAAGGAAGCCCGTGATAGGTTCTTCCAATCAAGCCCCGTTAGTGAGCCAACAGTAAACCATTCTAACACTGGCAGAGATTCTCCTAAATTTTCTGTGTCTAATGGGCCAGACAGGTCTGTGGTCGTTAGTGTAACACCAAATGCCACTGAGAGTAATTCTGAAAAGAACAAAGCCAGAAACTTCCTCCTAAAAGCAATTCCTGGATCTACGTCCCCCAAAACTGCACGTGCTGCAGAAAATCCCAGCAGCATAGTCACTCCAAACCGGTAAGAGCAATATGTGTTTGTGTAAACTTCATAAAGGTATTCTTTCTTCCACTGATTCAGTGATTCTTGTATTTTAAGGGTGTAAAAGCATATATGCTGCCCAGGGCCACCAATTAGAATATTTATTTAATTTTCTAGTTTGTACTGGGGAAAATGACAACTGTACTCTGGTTTGGCAAGTCTAGGACTTACCCGTACAGACATGTTTGCTCGCAGTGCCCAGTAGGTCCAATGCATTTGCTAATCTGGGAAATATCTTGCAGATGCTGAGTAAAATATGTACTTCCATTCCATTACATTTCATGATGTCCCACTTTTTGATGGAAAAAACCATATACCAGCAGACCAGCTGAAAAGCTTCTTGGGCCAGAATTCTGTTGCACAAATCTGAAATTTTTTTAGCAGCATCACTGAGGGTCACTGAAGATTTTTTATGATTATTGGAACATGGGAAATGTTAGTTATTAAAAATTATTTTACCATGTGCATTCATGATTTTTTTTTTTAATACATTTCAAGGTAAATAAGACAAAAATCATACAGTTTCCTGCCTGTGTTATAAGAGGTAAAAAGAGTCGTGAAAATAACAAAACATTTTAGTTTTACATAAAATCAATTCTTGGAGGGTAAAGCACGAGTTTAGGTTGTGTGGTACCCTTTGGAAGAGGTTTATGGAAAGGGCTTTAAAGCTGATGTAAATAGGGCAGAATTGGGGTGAACGACAGGAATGGAGATATGAGAGAATGCGAGTAGAGGATAAAGAGTGGAGAAGTGAAAGATGAGCATTCATGATTTTTAATTTATGTATACCTGTGTGTTGTGATGGCTAATATACTGTTGTGTCCAGAATGTTCCCTAACATAAATTTGTAGCATCTGGAACATAAGAATTTCTTCGTCTTTCTTTAAGGAACGATTTGTAGGTTATCAAATTACAAAAGAGAAATTCCACAGAGCATTTCATTGTCTGTAGAAGGTTCTTTTTTGTGTTATTTCAAAACTAACTCTTTGCCTGAGAGACACTAGGAAATCCTTTTCCCGTGGTTTAGTAAATAAGTTATTTCCTACTTGCACCAATATAGCCATTTTTTAAATATTTTCATATTTTTAAGGACTTTGGATTTTTCACCAAGTGGGTCAACCGTTTCCACACCCATGGCAGATCCTATGAAACCTGTGCCAAAAGAAAGAAAAAGTAAAGTGCAAACATCTGTTTCAAGTTCAGAGACATCAAAAACCACTCCAGCATCCACCACCAGCAAGGGAGACACAACACCAAGCTCTGTGCCATCACAGCCAAAACAATCCATACAGTCTGTGCAACCTAGATATCCAAGGCAGTCGGCACAATCTACTCAACCTACACACCCCACAACATCTGTCCTTCCAACACAACCAGCGCTATCAAAGGAGTCTACACGACCCACACAGCCTGCACAATCTCTACAAACGACACAACCCACTCAACCGCAGTCTACGCAACCTGCACAGTCTAAGGCAAATATACATCCCACTCAACCCGCAAAGTCTCCACAACCTGCACAGTCTAAGGAAAATATACGTTCTACACAACCTGCAACTCCTAAGCAGTCTATACAGTCTACACATCCTTCCCAACCAATACAGTCTACAAAACAACCGCAACCAGGTGTGACCCCTAGCAGGGACAATAAGCTGGCTGAACCAACTCCAAAGAGTAAGTATCAGATTATTATTTTTTTATGCTGCATTTACTTATGAAGAAATGAACTTAGGTTTGCAGCATGAGTCATCCCCACATTCCATCTTAATGTTTTTCTTGCCTCACTTTATCTGATAGCTTTGATCTTTATTTCCGTTTCCTCCTTTTAATGAACCATGCTTTTTTTCAGCACAAAATTCTGGCAACAAAGAATCAAAATCAGAAGCCCCAGGGGACTGGAGATCGATGCTCAAGCCTGTGGACAAAAAGCCATCAGTGCAGGGGTATGTTCTTTAAAGAAAGGTTTACAGCCAGATGTGGAAAATTCTTAGAGAAATGTAATGTAAAGATATTGTCACAAATACCCTTCCACCTGTAGAACATCAGAGGTCCCCCAACCCACAAGATTTTCTTCAGAATTCTGTCATGATGGCAAGTTAAAATACCACTAAGCCCCCCCCATCCCCCCCCCATCCCCAAAAGCTGGCCATACACGTATAGATTTTAATTCGAGAATTTTCGCTTCAAGAATATTCGTTTACTTTTCTAATTGTTAGTGGCGTCAAATCAATGTTCGTTTTCGACAGCAGTGACGGGAAAATTTGAAGGGGGAGGAAGGAAAACTTTTCATTATCAAACAAATTTTCGGCCAGTGTATGTGATTATCATTCAGAAATTAGAATCTTTTTAACATCAAATGTTAAAAGCAAAATGCAATTTTTGAATGACATTTGTCCATTCATCAAATATGCAAAGAATTTTTTATACGACTTTTCTTACAAATATTTTCATCCGGAAATCTACATGTGTTAGGCCAGCTTAACAAAAAATGGTTTTGCCAACGTTCGACATCTGTGGTATTTTTAAATATTTTTGTGTTTACTGTGTTTTTTTTTCACAGCAGGAACAAAAATAATTTTTTATGCCTATTGCACATTGTGATGCATTATAATGAGCTACAACGTGCTGACATAAAATGCAACATACTCTGTTTCTTTTCAGTGCAAACCAACACAAGTCGTTGGTGTAAACTGGCACTGTTAATCTTATTTCTCTTGTCCTTGCGTTAGGACTGCATTGAATAAAGCAATTAGTGGAAATGAACCCTTAAAGTGTAGCTCAAACCTAAAATGTTTTCATTTTAGACTCAATTCATATATATGTGAATTGGATGTGTTTTGAACCACATCCGATTTGCATGGCATATGAAACAAAATCCTTTCCTATGGAGCCAGTTCACCTATGTGTTGGCCTGTCTACAGTGCGATCTAAAAAAGAATCAGCCGGAGTTCACATATGTGCAGGGTCGGTTTGCAGCATAAATTCAAGCCCTGTTCAGTGGTTCAGGTGCGATTTTAGGTGCAAATTGTTAAAGCATATGACATTGGAAATTGCACTTGAACCGGGCTGAAAATCATACCGGACTATTTTTGTAATTGCTTTGCGGCTACCCCACACATATGTGAACTGGCTCCATAGAAAAGCCTTTTGGTTCACATATCATGTGAATCGGATGCGGTTCAAAACGCACCCAAATCACATATATGTGAACCAGAGCTTAAGTACGATTTTCAGCCCTCTTCAGGTGCAAATGTATATCATACACTTTAACAATTTGCATTGGAATTGCACCTGAACCGCTGAACAAAACCGCATCGAACTCTTTTACAAATCACACTGCACACCGACCCCACACATATGTGAACCCAGACTTAGACTCTATACTTTTTATCCTGATCACCACCGCTGGTGCGAGCATAAACTGCCCCCAAATGATTAAAAAGATATAAACTACAGACTATATGCAGAACACAAGCTTTCTGATATTTGTATTTTTTTGTGTTTTAAAAGTAACATTTAAAAGTTTGAAGTCTGCTATTATTTTTTATTTTTATTACATTTTTAATTTAAATACTTAAATCCCAAAGCACACTGGGGTAGCTAATGAGTTATCTGCTTCCGCTTGGTTTTGTAGTATGAATCTATGAAGCCCGTAAACAAAAGGCTTTTTTTTTTTTTTGACAGACTGTAAAAAGACACAACTACAGGTGTTAAAAGAAGGGCTAGCTAAAAAAATAATTAAAAAAAGTGTTTTTTTTTAATAAATATATATATCAGTTTAAAAATGCAACACACAACTTTTAGTAACCATTTTAAAAAAGTTCCAAAATAAAATAAGCGCCTCCAGTATGAATTCAATTATGTATTATATATTTTATGTTTATACTTTGGTATGTTTTGCATCTTAGCGCTGTGGATTTTACTTATGCTTCTGCATAACTCAAACAGGAGTCTGACTTTCTGTTGTGCTACTTTATAAGCCCCTTACTAAAAATATGTAAGAGGTTAGCATTTCCTATCTTTTTTCTTGAATTATTGTGTAACAATGATTAACTCCAGATCTGTTCCAGTCCTGTGTCAGTTTGAGGGATCTCTATGCAGCTTGAGATATATGTGTGTTCACAAGATGTTCCTGGGAAAGTCCTGCGAATTTCAATCTTTCTGACCCTTCTGGCTGCAGAATGTGCAAAGCTACTGCCTGTGTGTAAAAAAGAGGTTTATTATCTGTTAGTGATGAGGAACCCACTTAGAGCAAGACAGTTTTCTGTTCCTTTCTTCCAAGTTCATATAACTCATTTCCTTAGTGTCATGCTCTTCAAACAACTTTATAGCATGAGAGACACTGACAGAAGTAGACTCTGACTGCCCAGAAAAAAAACGAGCTTTCACTGGATATTCATCAGGCCAATCCACCAAAAACTGATATCTGCCAGGTGCAGTGGAATAGCCGGCCCAGACAAGGCAAAATGCTTTGTCTCCTACCTGGCTTGACATACTTTTTTCAGAGCAGCGTGAGGCAATCCACCATGCGATGGCCAATAGAACTTAATATATAATCAGTGTGACATTTCAATAAAGTTTGTTTAAAAAGAAAAATGCACATTACAATTCGCTGTGATTGGCGCATCAGCACTGCACACTATCTGATTCGCTGTAATATAGCAGCTGGTGTGAACAGGCTCTTAATGTGAATGTTTGATATTTCTGGAAGACTCTGTTGGTGAGCTTGAAGCAGTATCAAACCCAAAAGTAAACTTTTATTATATCGCAGCTTACCAAATGTTAGATGTGCATTAGTTTTCTTTTAGGCTTACTTTCTTCTATTTTCTTTTGGTGATCCAGCCAGTAAGTATGTTAATGTTTAAAAGAACAAGATTATTATTATATACAGGATTTATATAGCGCCAACAGTTTGCTCAGCGCTTTACAATATAACGGGAGACAATACAGCAACAATACAGTTCAATACAAGAGGGATAGGAGGGCCCTGCTCCTTGGAGCTTACAATCTAGGAGATCCCCTTGCAAATGCAGGGATGAGAGAAACCATTTACCACTGACAGGGGTGCTTACAATGATCAGCTTTTATTTATTTTTGTAAAGCCTTTACCCCAAAAAAGGAACAAAAATGTGTTTGCTGTAACTGCTTATACAGTGTGAGCTTGAGTTTGGCTTCAGTTTGTTAGTATATTTAAATCCGCTAGGCCATTTAACACTCCCCTCCACCCAGACTGACAATGCTACTGGCTGCTTTGCCCTCTGTGCTCATTCATCCAGAGTGGGGGCACTCTAATACAGGAGGTGTGTTACTGGCCAGATCACCAGGTGAAAAGCCTAAAAAAGAAAATTAAATGCTGCCACCACATTTAATGATTGGTAAGCTGTAATATATTACATTTTTTATTTTGGGCTTAATAACGCTTTGAGCTCCAGAGTCTGCACACATGCCATGGTCATCCTGATGGGGTTGCAGGCTTTATTTTTTATTTTTATTTTATTTTTTTATGATGGATAAAAGAACAGAATGTGCTGGACTCCGCCAAGCTATTTCTATAACTAAAATATCACTTCTACATGAACCCTTTAAAATGAGCTCTGTGTGAGATTTCACATGTTAATATATTTTCTGAGAAAGTCTACTTACCCTATCTGCCTATTCCCCAAATCTAAAGTAACCCACCCTCCCGCCACTCATTAGCATACATACCTGAATCCTGCAGATTCAATCTGTTTGGGCCAGTTGCTGCATGCTGGATCCTCCACAATGGCTATGGGACCATCTCCTGAGTATCTTCTGCTTCTAAAGACAACCCCTAATATTAACAAGGATTGACTGCAGCCACTGTCAGTGCAAGTAATATTTTACCAGCAGAGTATAAACATTGCAGAAGCCATAATGGTGTGATTGATTTAAGTGTATATCTGGGGAGGAGGAGCGTACTTTAGGTTGAGAAGGAAGAGTAAGAACACTACAGATTTAAAACTGGTGCACCTAGAATCTTGTGCAGCTGTGTATAGTAATCAATCAGCTTCTAACATCAGCTTCTTCAATTAGGCTTTGACAGTAAAACCTGGAAGCTGATTGGTTACTGCTCACAGCTGCTTCAGATTCTGTGTGCTTTAGCTTTAGTAAATCAACATAAATGAGTACACCCCAACAGATTTGTTAGAAAACTTTTCAGAAGAAACATTTTCTATGGGACACTATACTACAAAATTCTCCCACAAATGGGGTGATCAGTTGCAAACAAGATTTGTTAATTTGCACACGCAAAAAAGTATTTTTCCTAACAAATTCATTTGAGACCATGTTGCAAAAATGAATACCCTCTAATGAAAGTCTTAAGAGCCAAGCTAAATTTTAGACAACAAAATCCTAATTAACAAGAATTAATAAGAATTCAACTACAGGCGAGTTCAGCAGACAGTTGATTATAAAAGGACGTTACTTAAAGAAAACCCCTTCCCATTTCATGCTGTCAAAAATGGCACCACATGCAAGAGAAATGTCACAAGACCTGAGAAAGAAAATGATTTCTTTACACAAGAAAGGTGAAGGCTACAAGAAGATCAGCAAATTTTTACTATTTGCAGTGCTGGCAGAATACTGCAGCAAAAGTGATACAAAAATTTAACAAAGATGGATCTGTGACCATCTCACAGAGACATCCTGACCGTCCACAGAAGTTAACACCTTGACAGGAGCGTCTTCCGATGTGAAGGGTTGAAGAAAATCGCCATGCAAGTTCACTGCAGTTATGTAAAGAAGTGGAAAGCCAAATTGGGGTGATTGTTTCCCATGACACAATACAGCGTACACTGCAGAGGAATGGCATGCATGGGTGTTGTCCATAAAGGAAGCCTCTCCTAAAGCCCATGCAAAAAAAAAAGCCACCTAGAATTTGCCAGGGCCCATGCTGAAGAAGAAGACTACTGGGACTCTGTACTCTGGAGTGATGAGACCAAGATAAATGTTTTTGGAACTGATGGCTTCAAAACTGTATGACGTTGCAAAGGTGAGGAGTACAAAGAAAAGTGCATGGTGCCTACAATGGAACATGGTGGTGGCAGTGTCCTTCAGGGGGGCTGCATGAGTGCTGCTGGTATCAGGGAGCTGCATTTCATTGATGGTATCATGAATTCACAGATGTACTGCTCTTTGTTGAAGGAGAAGATTCTACCATCACTCCGTGCCCTTGGTCATCGTGCACTTTTCCAACAGGACAATAATCCAAAACACACATCTATGGCCACTGTTGCATTTCTGAAGAACAACAGGGTGAGAGTGATTCAGTGGCCAAGTATGTCTCCTGATCTGAACCCAATTGAACACCTTTAGGGAATTCTGAAGAGACAAATTGAGCATTACTCTCCATCCAGCATCCAGGCTCTCTAAAAGAGGTCGTTCTTGGAGAATGGAAAAAGATCGATGTTGCTATATGTCTCCAACTTGTTCATTCCATGCCTAGAAAACTTGGTGCTGTCCTTACAAATCCTGAAGGTCCTACAAAATACTAGATGTAGTAGTTTTTTTTGTTTTGGGGTGTATTCATTTTTGCTTCAACTAATTTGAGTAAACCTGAAGATTTTGTAATCCAAGTTATATTATTACCTTACTTTCATGTAATGAGCTAAACAAATGTTCTATCAAACTCAGTTTTGCCAAAATTTTGTAAATTGTTTTTGTGTTCATTGAGATATTGATTAAAAACATACTTTTCAAAAGGGGTGTACTCATTTATGCTGAGCACTGGATACTTGTAAAGTTGCAAAGTCTCATATTGATGTAATTACTTGAGAATTGTCATGTTGCTTTTCTAATAGTGCAATCTTCCCCACAGGCCTCTGCTTGAAATTAAACCTGCTTCAAAAGAAAAGGAGACCACCAACACACCGGCGAAGAAACTGACAACCACTACTACTGTGACAGTGACCATCTCCCCAAGCCCTGCTGAGAAAGAGAACAAACCAGTTCCTTCTATAATAACCCCTGCCACACCAGTATCAGGGGCTACAGGTAATAAAAAAAAAAACCAAACTTTTGTGATGTTAGCGGATGTGATTGTGGTGCCAGATGGAAAGAATTCTAGCGCCATCTGAGTAGTTGGCAATTTACAAAGGAGAGATGGAAGAGCACGCTGAAAGCTGCTCAATTTCAACTATAACAGGAAGGCATCATCTCAATCCCCACCCGAACCACACATTCCAACACGTTTCTACAATTAAGCCCATGATGGGTAAAACATGTTAGAGGCATGATTCAGGAGGGGATTGACTTGAAGCTTTCCAGTTATACTTGAAATTGAGTGGCTTTCGGTGTGCGCTTCCATCTCTTCTTTGTAATTTTGCTGACAATAGGGAAAGACGAGCTCTGTGGGCGCTGCACCCAACAGGCACTGAATAACTGGGTGACTGAATCAGTGAAGCCTGGAATGGCGCTACGTGTTTGATTGCAGTTCAGTAGTTGTTAGCTGTTGGGTACCTATATAGCAAACTGCATGGACCTAAAAGAAAGACTGGTGGAGGTAGATGCATTATTGTTAAACTGCACTCCCAGTCCTGTTCCTGATCTGTTCATACTTTATAGATTTTGGATTACCTCTCTCCCAATCTTGAAAGGTTTCCTCCTAGAGTTTAGTTGATCCCACAATGATATTTGATGGTTACATGCATGAATACTTGCTCAGTGATTAGAAACACTTTAGTTAAAGTAAACTTTGTAAAGAGACTGCTAGACCTTGGGAAGACACACCTCTTCTCCGGCACCAAACACAGACCCAACCTTGCCCAGCTGCAGTGCAACTCCGATAAGTATGAAATGATGTTTTCAGCCATGTCCAGATACCAATAAGCTTTAAGCGCCTTGACGTATTTTGCACATCAGGTTACAAGTATGAGTGTGGGCCTTTTGAGTAAGCACTGATGTGCTATATGTGTCAAGGCACTCTGTAACTTTTGCTGTTTTTTTTTTTGATGGTTTGATTAAAACACTTGCTGGTTTTTAGGACTGGGCAGTGGAATGTCATTTTTTTTTAACACAATGGTGAGTTTAGTTTGTAAAATAAGCATGCCCCTTCCCAACCCTTTGGTTATTTGTTTACATTGAGATCTTTAAAGAAGACGTCTATTTAAAACTGACTAGTTTCTGTAGGATGAAGAATTTGGAAAAAAATGTATATAAAATATCTACGCTGTCTCAGTGTTAGTTGCAGCTTGGTGAAGATCCTCTGCTTATTCCCTCTCTTAGTTGCACTTTTTATTAGTCTGTATTTCAATTTGTAGCACTCACCCCTGGTGGGGCCGCTGAACATATACAGGATCTCCGGAAAAGTACAGAGGCTGCCATTCACCAAAGCACAGTCCCACGCACATCAATAAATAAAACTCAGTCTAGGTGAATGTCTAAATCAGGGTTTATTGCTGAAGAACTTTAACAGGACAGGGGTTTAAGATCACGGGATACTCTAAAACTATCAATAATCGCAGTAGGTGGACAAACGTCTGTCTAATCTTCCAAAGAGCAGCTTTTCTGGGGGTAGAAGGGTATGGCTAGGATGTTGACCTCCCTGCAACTGTAGTCTATAAAGCAGCTTCTTGCAACTGGTTCCCCTCTGGCACTTTCCCAACTATTGGTCCCAGTGCAGTCTTTACTCGGTGTCCCAGGAGCTGTCCGCTACCCAGCATCCTCAGGCATATCCTCTGTGAAGGAAAGAAGGATCCTTCTCTGTCCAGAACTCAGAGACAGTGCTCTTCAGTAGGGATACTTCTTTGGCAATTCTTTTCAGGCCCTCAGCTCAACAACCTCTGAGGCCCAAGCAGCAATCTTTTGTCTCCCTGGCTATCTCCCAGGGGCAGCAGTCCTTCAGGAGACTGGAACCTTCCTGATGAAGAAAGAACAACCTCCTTGGGCTTCCTACACATTTATCACCTCCCCATCTCACCGCCACCTTCTGGATGCCCCCTTCCAGGGATTGGCTGGGACATGATAAATATTCAACTGATCATTTGATTCTCCCTCTCTATGCACTGTAAGCAGAGGGGATCAAACTCTCAGCTCAGGAATCCTGATTGGACCCAATCGATATACAGTCATTCCACTCACTACAGTGGAGCCAAAAAATACATTTAGCTAGCAGCCTAACTAGGAGGGTGCTATAACTTTAGTTTGTAATCCTGACACCTAAGTAAACAGGAGCGGTAGGAAGAGGAGATTGTCAGAGGAACCACATAGTGCTAGATGTAAAAAACAATGCTTTGGAGGTAAATGCGATTTTATCCCTGTTTATCTCTGCCCAAAGAACACGGGCAAATGCCTTCATTGTACAGCTGGATATTTTATCTTACCTGTTTGAAATCAAGCTAGATTAGGATCAGGGATCTGGCTTCTCCCTTAACATAGTATTATTTTTGTACATATATAAAGCCAAATGCCAGGGTATCTGCATGAAGGCTTTCTTTGTTAGATCCATTTTCTTTCCTATGTAAACAGGCAGCTGGTCTGCAATGATGTTAAAGCATTAGTTCCCCTTTTCACTAAAAAGTGAAAAGGTGAACTAACTCACTATACTCTCCTCACACCCCTTTTACCTATTGCACTTCCTTGATTATTTTCTGCTGCCCAGACAGCTAGTGTAGTGGTCTGGGGATCTGAAAATTGCAGTACGCAGCCCATAAGCTGTGTAATATCATGGTGAGTGGGCATTGGTCAGCACCAGCATGTGACCATGCTGACCAATGAGAATTGCTCTGAGTTGTCCTGTAAAAAAATAGGCATGCAGAAGAGAGTGGCTTTCAAGTGCCTGGACTGCTACATCATCTAGTGTGGACAGTGAAAGATGATCAACCAAGGAGGTAAGCGCAGAATGGACTAAGGATGTGGGGAGGGTGCTGTGAATTAGTTCACTTTTTTCATGTTTTGTGAAAAGGTGAACTAACTCTTTAAAGTTGAACTTTGAGCACAAATATTGAAATATTCCTCAGTAATCTTAAAGGATATAAATCCACTTTTTACCTTCCAAAGGCCTTTGCAAATCTAGTCAATACTTGGTAAAAGTAGCAGTGACATCATCATGGGGGTCTGTGCAGGGAGTGGAAAAATGGATGGGCTTGCTAGATACAAGACCAGCCACCCTGCACAATTACAGAGAGCAGCAATGACTGGTCTTTATTACAGGAAGCACCTTCAATGAAAAAAGTGTTTACATTGTTTCAAGACTATGTAGAAGACTATGTAGATGACTAGTGTGTGTGCTGTGAACTTTACTTTTGTGTTCATTTTCTTTTATGCTTCATAGTTTTCATTGTTCTTTGTATTTGTGCCCATCAATTTAGAAACTGATTAATATTGAACATGCGGTCATCTGACAGAGGCAGTAGTGGTGAGCTGGTTGCATAGGAATGAACCTGTGTTATTTGTACTTGTCATGTGTATGTGCAGTATTGCATGTTCATTACCTGTGTGTTTTGCTCCTGCATGTGTGTGAATTAATGCACTAAAGTGTATTCATTGCTCACAAGTGGTGCCGGTAGCTCTTTTTGGTCTAAATATTAGCAAAGGATCTGCTGAAAGCTGAAACTGATTTTTCATAACTTCATTTGAAAATTGGTTCTACTCAGATGATCAGTGTATCAAAACCTGATATTTGCTGTATGCTGGCTGGTTGAGTCTTACACTGATTTCCGCATTTCCTGGGGACACTGGTGAAGAGATATTGCACTGGAGGTCCCAGCTTACCCCCAGCTTGCTCATCCCAACCCTTCGTACATATGCAAAATAAAGGCATGTCATTCATACTCTATTTACAATAATGGAAAATAGATGGAAACTCCCAAGGTGCAAGTGAGACTGTAGGGTAACTGTACAATAAGTGGGAGGTGTGATTTCAGGCAGGATACACACACCCAGAACTAAAATATTAGTTTTGGATAGACTTATCTAATTAAGCTGAACTCTGAACAAACTACTATATACACAGTTTAAATACACATTACTGTGCACTGTAATGTCTTTGTAGTATTGTAGCTAGTCTGATGTTGGTGACCTCTATTTTCTCCACCGCAGTTGAACAATACTGACTGGTCACTAATACAGTTTGGGAACCTTCCCACAGCCTGCCGATTGGACAGTGAAGGAGCAGCAGTGCACCCATTTACTCGTCATTACTATTACTCAGAAAGCTCCTATTGTCAAAGTGTTACTAAACCCCGGACCCTGCATTCACTATATCTGGTCTCCCACAGTACACAAAACATGGAAATGCAATTATTTTAATATTATTTTAATATAAACTGCTAAATCCCTTTTCTCATCAGCAGTTAGAGCAGGCTTGTGACTTCAGCTGAGCACTGGTTAAAGCTTGTAGGAGGAGTTTTCTTTCTGCTCTAGGAGGATGTAGAACCTCTGACCTCTGTCTGGACAGTGCTGATTGGCTAATCACATGCACTCTCCCAAGAAAAAAAAAACCCTCTCTAGCAATACACACTAAACTGAGCATGTGCAGAAGGGCTAAGGGTTCAGTCTGTCTTATCAGCATGGACATTTGAACAAGAGAAGGGGCAGAAAAGACAGGATCAAACAGCCTTTTTACACAATGCAGAGGATTAACCCCTTAGGTTCCACAGTGAGTATAACAAGTATGGTTTACTGCATATACAGACTGATTTTACTGTTGTAGGTTTAATAACACTTTAAACTGGCCATAGATGGGTCATACTTTATCATTCAGCTAGTGGGCTGATCGGAAAAAAAAAAAGAAACAATTCCTCTATCCACACAAGCAAACTGGATGAAGGAATCGCTCCACTGTCTGTCAGAATACACTGATCAGCAGCTGCAGGCACTGATCAACAAACGTTTTCCAACATATTCGTTCAACAGAAGTCAATAGCAGTTTGACTTGTGCCAAAATGGGACGGCCACACACGGATTGAAATTTGACCGGTCCCTGCTGAACTGGCCAACGTTTGGTTCATCTGTGGACAGTTTTAGATTCCCATCATTGTACAAGCTAGTGTAGC